ACACACTAACCTTGTATCATCCACACCATCATGAACATCAGATGTAGTATCTAGTCTCCTTACACACTAACCTTGTATCATCCACACCATCATGAACATCAGATGTAGTATCTAGTCTCCTTACACACTAACCTTGTATCATCCTCACCATCATGAACATCAGATGTAGTAGCTAGTCGCCCTTACACACTAGCCCTGTATCATCCACACATCATCATGAACAGCAGTACTCTGTACCACAAACCAGGCTGTGATGAGCATAGAGCTTTTATCTAGTGATCGACTTATATTGATACTGTGAAAGAAATGTAAGCTAACAAAAGGACTGTGTCACAAATGTCAGCTACCTTCATTTATTGCTTGGGGTTAAAGCTGTATGCTACCTTACCATGACATGCATCTACCCTGAAAAGAGTTCTGAAACAAGGAAACTTTACAATTATCTAAAATTTTGTACAGGACGTTTCGAGTTGATTGATTCAATGTTCAATGATACATTTGAAATGTACACAAACAAAGCAATTACCAGAATATCACTTAAGTTGGTGCAGTAGTAGCCAAAAGAATAAAGCTTGTTAACATTTGGGTTTAAATTAAAGATTAACATCACAATGTCGTTTTGGGAACATCAATTTCTCCCCAAGTGATGGATGTCATGGCATCACAATAAGCTTCAGAGGCTGAAAGTGGTCATGGAGCTTTTTTGTGTTTACCTCTTTTTACCAAGAATGGGAATTATTAAAATGTTAAAAACTTCATTTTACTTCTCAAATTTGATGCATATCAGTGCAGTCTAGTAGATAAAAACAAAACACACCTTTTCAACTCACACTATTTTCATAATATCTATGGTTCATGTTGATCAAAGACTCCACACCATAACAATGTTCCTCATAATCTCTTCTAACAATCTGGACACTTTTATCAAATTAAACAAATGTATATATATAATCATATTGTAAATTTGAGGTATCTAGCTTGTTTATTGATTTGAAGCAGATTGAAGGTACAGCTTTTACAATGATTTTTTCATATTCATTTAAGAAGTAAATGATATTCAGATCTCATATTCAGCTGATATGTAGATCTCATAAATCAAAGGACATACAGAACTCATACTCAACTAACAAACAGAACTCATACTCAACTAACAAACAGAACTCATATTCAACTGACAGATCTCATATTCAACTGACATGGATCTCATAGTTAACTGACATACATATTTCTGATTCAACAAACATACTGATCTGACATTTAAAAGCATTTCACACCAAGGTAAAGTAGTTGTGTGTATCAGATCACTCCCTATCACACCATTCTGTAGAAGACTAACACACAAACATTCCATAAGCTATAAGGAATGTGCTGCTGCTGTCCTAAATTGTAAAATATGTCTTTTACTCCTGAAAAGCATAAAGCAGATTGTTCAGCCAACAAAATCTTCCTTCCTCTGACACTTCATGCTTATAATGTTTTACTACTTATCACAGACTATAATGTGATGACAACTAAAGTTATGTTATTTCACCTGAGAGCAAATCTGTTCATGTCAATTACAATTGATTGATTCCAATACAAACATTCTTTTCTCCGAGCTGTGTCAGCATGTGTAAAATTATCACTAAAATAACAATACATACAGCTACCAGAACGGTTTTTGGTAACCTATATCGCAGGGTAACCATTACGTGTATCACACTGGTAACCATTACGTGTATTACAATGGTTACCATTACATGTATCACACTGGTTACCATTACGTGTATCACACTTACCATTATGTGTATCACACTGGTTACCATTAAGTGTATCACACTAGTTACCATTACATGTATCACACTGGTTACCATTACATGTATCACACTGGTTACCATATGCATTATGTGTATTACATTGGTTACCATTACATGTATCACACTGGCTACCACTACATGTATCACACTGGTTACCATTACATGTATCACACTGGTTACCATTACATGTATCACACTGGTTACCATTACATGTATCACACTGGTTACCATTACATGTATCACACTGGTTACCATTACATGTATCACACTGGTTACCATTACGTGTATCACACTGGTTACCATTACATGTATCACACTGGTTACCATTAGGTGTATCACACTGGTTACCATTACGTGCATCACACTGGTTACCATTACGTGTATCACAATGGTTACCATTACAATTATCACACTGGTTACCATTACGTGTATCACACTGGTTACCATATGCATTATGTGTATTACATTGGTTACCATTACATGTATCACACTGGTTACCATATACATTATGTGTATTACAATGGTTACCATTATGTGTATCACACTGGTTACCATTACGTGTATCACACTGGTATCCATTACATGTATTACACTGGTTACCATTACGTGTTTCACACTGGTTACCATTACGTGTATCACACTGGTTACCATTATGTGTATCACACTGGTTTCCATTACATGTATCACACTGGTTACCATTACGTGTATCACACTGGTTACGTGTATCACACTGGTTACCATTACATGTATTACAATGATTACCATTATGTGTATTACAATGGTTACTATTACATGTATCACACTGGTTACAATTACATGGATCACACTGGTTACCATTACATGGATCACACTGGTTACCATTACGTGTATCACACTGGTTACCATTACATGTATTACAATGATTACCATTATGTGTATTACAATGGTTACTATTACATGTATCACACTGGTTACCATTACATGGATCACACTGGTTACCATTACGTGTATCACACTGGTTACCATTACGTGTATCACACTGGTTACCTTTACGTGTATTACAATGGTTACCATTATGTGTATTACAATGGTTACCATTATGTGTATTACAATGGTTACCATAACGTGTATCACACTGGTTACCATTATATGTATCACACTGGTTACCATTACGTGTATTACAATGGTTACCATTACATGTATCTCACTGGTTACCATTACATGTATCACACTGGTTACCATTACATGTATCACACTGGTTACCATTACGTGTATCACACTGGTTACCATTATGTGTATCACACTGGTTACCTTTACATGTATCACACTGGTTACCATTACATGTATCACACTGGGTACCATTATGTGTATCACACTGGTTACCATTATGTGTATCATACTGGTTACCATTACATGTATCACACTGGTTAACATATGCATTTTGTGTATCACACTGGTTACCATTAAGTGTACTGGTTACCATTACGTGTATCACACTGGTTACCATTACATGTATTACAATGATTACCATTATGTGTATTACAATGGTTACTATTACATGTATCACACTGGTTACCATTACATGGATCACACTGGTTACCATTACGTGTATCACACTAGTTACCATTACATGTATCCTACTGTTTTCCATATGCATTATGTGTATTACAATGGTTACCATTACCTGTATCACACTAGTTACCATTATGTGTATCACACTGATTACCATTATGTGTATCACACTGGTTACCATTACATGTATCACACTTGTAACCATTACATGTATCACACTGGTTACCATTATGTGTATCACACTGGTCACCATTACATGTATTACACTGGTTACCATTACGTGTTTCACACTGGTTACCATTACATGTATCACACTGGTTACCATATGCATTTTGTGTATCACACTGGTTACCATTAAGTGTATCACACTGGTTACCTTTACGTGTATTACAATGGTTACCATTACGTGTATCACACTGGTTACCATTATGTGTATTACAATGGTTACCATAACGTGTATCACACTGGTTACCATTACATGTATTACACTGGTTACCATTACGTGTTTCACACTGGTTACCATTACGTGTATCACACTGGTTACCATTATGTGTATCACACTGGTTACCTTTACATGTATCACACTGGTTACCATTACATGTATCACACTGGTTACTATTACATGTATCACACTGGTTACCATAACGTGTATCACACTGGTTACCATTACATGTATTACACTGGTTACCATTACGTGTTTCACACTGGTTACCATTACGTGTATCACACTGGTTACTATTACGTGTATCACACTGGTTACCATTACATGTATCACACTGGAAACCATTACATGTATCACACTGGTTACCATTACATGTATCACACTGGTTACCATTATGTGTATCACACTGGTTACCAGTATGTGTATCCCACTAGTTACCATTATGTGTATCACACTAGTTACTATAACGTGTATCACACTGGTTACCCTTACATGTATCACAATGGTTACCATATGCATTATGTGTATTACAATGGTTACCATTATGTGTATCACACTGGTTACCATTACGTGTATCATACTGGTTACCATTACATGTATCACACTGGTTACCAGTATGTGTATCACACTAGTTACCATTATGTGTATCACACTGGTTACCATTACGTGTATCACACTGGTTACCATAATGTGTATCACACTGGTTACCATATGCATTATGTGTATTACACTGGTTACCATTATGTGTATCACACTAGTTACCATAACGTGTATCACACTGGTTACCATTACATGTATCACACTGGTTACCATTACCTGTATAATACTGGTTACCAGTTTGTGTATAAAAATGGTAATAATTTCGTGTATTACAATGGTAATAATTTCGTGTGTTACTAAAGAACCACTTTGTGTATTACAACGGTAATCATTGTGTGTATTTAACAATGGTAATTATTTTGTGTATTTCACTGGTAACTATTTTGTGTATTTCATTTTTAATCATGTGTATTTCACAGGTAATCAATATGTTTATTTTAAAATGGTAATCAATTTGTGTATTTCACAGGTAACCATTTAGTGTATTTCACAGGTAACCATTTTGTGTTTTTCACTGTTAACCATTAAGTGTATACACTGGTAACCTTTTGGTGTATTTCACTGGTAACCATTTTCTTTATTTCATTAGTCACCAATGTGTGGATTACCATAGTTACTGGTACCTGTGTTACACTAATTAACATTATTTGTAGCACACAGGACCCTAAGAACCATTACGGTATTACAACCCTGATATCACAAGAGGTGGCCAGTCAGCTTTTATATAAGTATGCTAAACACAGGCTGTTCCTGCCACTGTTTTTGCTGCAGTTTCTGTTACTGGATTTTTTTTATCAGTCTCAACTGTTCTAGTTTTGTTTGTGTTAACAGTAACTGTTGTTACAACAGTTGCTGTTTTTGGAGTTGTTATATTGTCTGTGGCAACTGTTACACTATTAGTAGTTTCTCCGACAGCTCCAGCGCCTATAGATTCTCCAGCTCCCTCCCCACTGGGCTTATCCATGGTGATCTTACTAAGCAGCATTAATACAAGAATTGCCGGGATGTGTAACAAGGTGAACCGAAAGAGGGCGCGTGAAGACTTGCTGTCTCCTTTCTGGTAAAACCGTAGGGCGAGGTATGACATGTACAGGTTAAAAGGCAGTGAGTCAACAGCAAACGTCCAGGAGGTCACTCCTATCATAGGTGCCATGGTGCACAGTCCTATCATTGCCAAGGAGTAGCGCAAAGCAACACGCTTACACAGGCCAGGGTTTATCACTGACATCATCCTGTATCCACCACGGGAATAATCTGGCCTTAGATTCCAACTCAGTGCATTAAAATGGGGAAACTGCCATGCAAATAGGATAGCTCCAAGTAGCCAAGCACCTGCAATGGTTAAAGGTAGTATCAGAACTATAAACACAAGGTTATGGCCTTATTACTTCTGATGTTAACTTAGTAATAGGAGACATCACACGTTAATTAGTCATGATCAGCTTTATATCTATAAATAAATATATTTTAGAATATTTTAAAACTCTGAGCTAATATACATTTTGCCAGGCTATGGCATAAATATACAATTTTGATTGCTTTCTCCTACACATCATAGTGAGGATAACCTCCACTACAAGAAGTATACATTCCTTGTTATAATCACTCCAGCTTATAAAGCATACCTGCTTGTAATTAATAAAGATGAATGTACATACCTGGTTCTAATCCTCCAGTACAAGCTGCCCAACCCATCATAGGGGGGATAGCCCCCACCACAGACCCCACCCAGGTATTGGCAGTACTGGTCCTTTTCATTGGTGTGTAGACCATGGTGTAGAGGCCGAGGTTGAATGCTCCCAGGGCAGCAGTAAGGGGATTTGTACCCAAGGTCAGAATCACCAGTCCCAAGCCACCAGACACACCCGCAAATGATACTGCATGCAAGGGGCTGTAATATAAGATACCTAGTTAATGTACTTATTACAAGTCTTCCTTATAATGGGTAGTCTTTTAAAGATCAAGCTCTCTGGATGGAAGTATAACTGTATATGGCAGAGTATAAATAGTGCATTACAGTGAGTCATACAGTTTCTGTATTGTAATACAATATTACATGGCATCCCAGACAACAGAACCTCTTCATGGCTGTGCAGTGCTACTTCTACACAAAATAAAGAAGTTGATGAGACAAAAAGGTACAAAATGCTGACATTGGTATTGACACTGGAAGACTGAATCATGAGCTGTATGTGTGATGTTTTGTGACAATCAGAAAAGAGGTTATAACATAACATTAATTATTCTATTAATAGTAACAGTGATCTTAGAAAGGTCAAACCATCTTGAACAAGATGTTTTTAAGTAAATGCATTTCATATCATCATATAAGTTACGACTGCATTTCAACCTATACCTACATTCAAATCAACGAAGAAAATTCTGTTTCATCATTCTTGGTGGTTTATTACAATGCATCGTATATTGTTGTGGGAACAATGCAGAGTTGTCCATGGTAACCACTTTGATTATGTGTAGATACCCTAACTGGGCTGTGTTACTGACCTTATTGAAGTTCTCCCAAATAAAGACCACTTCTGACCTGAAATTCATCTAATTAGTTGGTGTTAGACTGTTTCTGATCTAACTGAAGTTCCCCTGATTGGACAGTGTTTCTGACCTATCTGACCGGGCTAATTGGACAGCCTTTCTGACCTAAATGAAGTGGTCTAATTGGACGGTGTTTCTGACCTAACTGACCGGTCTAATTGGACAGCATTACTGACCTAACTGAAGTGGTCTTATTGGACTGCGTTTCTGACCTTACTGAAGTGGTCTAATTGGACAGTGTTTCTGACCTATCTGACCGGTCTAATTGGACAGCCTTTCTGACCTAAATGAAGTGGTCTAATTGGACAGTGCTTCTGTCCTAACTGAAGTGGTCTAATTAGACAGTGTTTCTGTCATAACTGAAGTGGTCTAATTGGACAGTGTTTCTGACCTAACTGAAGTGGTCTAATTGATNACAGTGTTTCTGTCATAACTGAAGTGGTCTAATTGGACAGTGTTTCTGACCTAACTGAAGTGGTCTATTGGACTGTGTTTCTATCTTAACTGAAGTGGTCTAATTGGACAGTGTTTCTATCCTAACTGAAGTGGTCTATTGGACAGTGTTTCTATCCTAACTGAAGTGGTCTTATTGGACAGTGTTTCTATCCTAACTGAAGTGGTCTAATTGGACAGTGGTTCTATCCTAACTGAAGTGGTCTAATTGGACAGTGTTTCTGACCTTACTGAAGTGGTCCAGTTGGACAGTGTTTCTGTCCTAACTGAAGTGGTCTAATTGGACAGTGCTTCTGTCCTAACTGAAGTGGTCTAGTTGGACAGTGTTTCTAACCTAACTGAAGTGGTCTAATTGGACAGTGTTTCTGACCTAACTGAAGTGGTCTAATTGGACAGTGTTTCTGACCTAACTGAAGTGGTCTAATTGGACAGTGTTTCTGTCCTAACTGAAGTGGTCTGATTGGACAGTGTTTCTGACCTAACTGAAGTGGTCTAATTGGACAGTGCTTCTGTCCTAACTGAAGTGGTCTAATTAGACAGTGTTTCTGTCCTAACTGAGTGGTCTAATTGGACAGTGTTTCTGACCTAACTGAGTGGTCTAATTGGACAGTGTTTCTGACCTAACTCAGTGGTCTAGTTGGACAGTGTTTCTGTCCTAAATGAAGTGGTCTAATTGGACAGTGTTTCTATCCTAACTGAAGTGGTCTAATTGGAGAGTGCTTCTGACCTAACTGAAGTGGTCTAATTGGCCTGTGTTTCTGACCTAACTGAAGTGGTCTAATTGGACAGTGTTTCTGACCTAACTGAAGTGGTCTAATTGGACACTGTTTCTGACCTAACTGAAGTGGTCTAATTGAACAGTGTTTCTGTCCTAACTGAAGTGGTCTGATTGGACAGTGTTTTTGACCTACCTTAAGTGGCCCTGTACAAGAACCCGATTCTTGGTCCTGTTCATTTGGGAATCAAAGGGAACTTCTAGAAACTGAAAAAAGTATAAACACATTAAATGAGAATTAGATATAAATAAATATATAAATCTGAAAAAAGTATAAACACATTAAATGAGAATTAGTTATAAATAAATATATAAATCTGAAAAAAGAGGCTACTTATCTCAATTCTGATTGAAAGTTTCCTTCTACACAAAAAATAGTCTAAATTGGAGACTAAGACAAAAAATCAACAAAAATGTGACATCACACAAGTCATGAGTTTGTGGAAATCCAATCACAATCTGAGAATGTTTTATACATTAAGAAGGCAACATAATTTGACAACACTTGACCCAAACAGGTATACCATCAGTTTGAATATAATACCTCAGAAGCAAAAAATAATATTATATTCTTGTGCTTGATAATGATGCTATAGATCCAAAAGAATTAAATGTGTTTCAGCTATCATCTTCAGAAAAAATAGGGTAGGTAGAAACTGGAAGGCATTTTATTTTTATTTTGGAAAATATTTTTACTATGCTTATATAGAGCAGGAGTTCTGACATTAACAGTGCACATTGATCACTAAATGCCAATAACAACTTTAGGGTAGGCACAACAATCTAGGGTAGGTAGGATTAGCAGAAACACAAGATATCTTTTGATTGGCTTAGGTATTAAATACAAATAATTTGTTTTTAACTAAAGTAGTTTCGATACTAGTCTGGTATTCTGGCAATACAAGTCATTGCTTTGAGTACACATATGCTGGGTCATGACTTGGAAATGATTGAAATCCACATACCTGATTGCATCTATGGATCTCAATCAATTTTAAGTCATTACACAAAGACACCTGTGACATTGAAAGTATATAGCACTTTATCTCATGTACCTATCGCCTTAATATAAAAAAATGGGCCTTCCTGAACTTAAGACAACTCTTTCAAAGATTTTCAATGTTGTCCTCTGGTTCCGTCCTGACAAGTGTTTAAAATGATGCTTGACATAAAAAATAAAAAATATGATTCTTTAGATGTTGTTTTATGTTTTCAACTTATTTGACCATGTGACACTGAAAGTAATTCAAGGCCATTTATAGGATGAAACATAATAGTGCTCCATCTTAGGCACATACTGCCTTAATATCACAATGGACCTTGTTCAACTAAAGATTTTTTTTTTTTTTTTATCCAATTGTAACTAAAGTTAGTATTTGACCCTGGCCAGCGCTTAAAGCTAACCTTTGGCTTAAGCAGAGTAAATCAAAAAAATAATTTGCACTACTAGTCAGCTCGTCTACATAACATACCCAAGTACCATGGCTCCAGACATTATGGTTCTTATGACATTTATACAATTTTGGGGCATTAATAAACTTAAGGGGAAGATTTAAAAAAGCAGCAGCCATTTACCCATTACAGCTTTCGACATTTGCTCCTTACATAACTCAAAATTGATAATGGACTTTATATAACAGTATTTAAGAAAAGACTTGCACTACTGGTCTACATCACACCCCATACTTGCCAACTCTCCCTATTTTGGAGGAGACTCCCGATTCTGGACCCTAAAATTGAGCATTTCCAACCAGTGAATTTGTTAAACTATTCCTATTTTCTAAGATCTGATGATTTCATCTGAAAGAACAGCTCAAAAGATGCCATTTAAAAGTGTTATTTTACCTGGGGGTATTGTACACATATTTTATTTATGATTTTTATTATGAGCACCTGCTATATCTCCCCCATGGGAATTTCAAAAACTTGGCAAGTATATATGACACCCATGTATTATGGCTCTATAAGAACTCAGAAATTATAAGATAGTATAATAGTTATTAGCATACTGCAAGAAGGTCAAGGTAGTCCATTTGACAAAACTTTATAGTACTCCATCCAAGGTAGTTACATGTACTGGCCAAATAACAAGACCCTCAATTTTTAGTTCTTAAAAAGAAGCTTTTAAAACAAATTTACAGATGGACAATGGACATTATACATACACTTTCAGGCACATGGCAAGTTACTTTATGAAAATAAATCCCAAATGCACAATTGCAGTTCAATACCTGGTTGATTGCATTGGCTGAACATGAAGTCAGAGCTGTCCCGAGTGAAACCAGGGCAAAGGTCACAGGATCAAACGCTGCTGGACCCATGCCATAACCTGCCATTGCTGTAAGCACAACTAGACCTGTAAACGTAAACCATCCAAATAGAATTACATACATTGGTGACTGGTGTAAAAGCTCATTTTCAGGATCAGGTTGGCGTTAAAATAGACAAGAATTTCTACCCTCATTCACACATTACAGGTAGTAATGTCTGTGTAATGTCTGTTTCAACAAACTTCTCAGTCCAAATTGTACACTTTTGACCACTGCAAGTCAGTTCTTTAAACATTTAGTTTACCTACCTGAAGTACATCTATCGTAGTTGCACAGGGTTAATATAGGCTTATATTAGTGTATAAGTATTAATATATCAAGCTGTGATCAAAATGATTGTTTGATATATATATATATATATTTGGGCTATATTAGGGTACTGATGTTAAAAATATCCAGCTATGATCGTGATGTTTGTTTGAGATCTATTCTATCAGATTTGTAATTTCCATTCTTAAAGTGTTTTACTTTTATTTCTTATAAAAGATTCCACAATACACAATTGGATGAAACTGGATGGAGAATAAAACTAGCTTACTAGTCAATCTGATCTTGGAGAGCCGTTTATAGTAGTCGGCGAGTTTGGATACATCCAGTTTCTGTTCTCTCCAGTTGAAATCATCCACTGACTGATGTAGCAGCCCTGGATTAGTCAGCTGGCGCTCCTTCTGCAGTGTGTCAACAGACACACGATCCTGTTTTATCAATTCGGCCACAATGGCCTTAGATGTGTATTTTACACCAGTGCTTGATTTTGGGAAAAAGAATTCCTCATGTTTTTTGGCATTTTCTTTGTCTATATGGATCAAAGAAGATGCAGGTTTATCAAAGATGATGAATCCTTGCTTTCCTCGTTTCAGAAGAAAGTCAAGTTCCTTGTTATTGAATTGGGTTTGCTCAGAGTTCTCTGGTGGTGGCCATTTGATAGGTTTTCCATCTAGAAACTCATTATCACTGTCATCAGTCTCAACTTCTGCAGCAACTGGTTTGGTTGAATACTGCTGTAACAAAAATAGAAATCATTATAGGAAAAACTGGACTTTTCACATATAAATTTTACTAAATGTAATGATTGTCATCAAATGTTGTGATACTGTATACTCTTTCTCATTTACGATGTCACCATATATCTTAATATCAAATAGGGGTGGACGTCATATAAGCTCTAGCAATAAAATCCTACAACAACATTAAAGGACTAATCATAACTTGATATGAATTTCTTTTAAACTTCAAGTTCATGATCAATATGACACCTTATATTCGTTCTGCTTGATGAAAATAGTCTCAATAATACATGTGTAGCAGAAAAGAGAATAGTGTGCTTCCACCTGGGATCGAGCCCTCAATCTTGAGGTTCCTAGTCAGACACTCGACCACTGAGCTAAAGAGAAATTCCCTCTAGCTCAAAGCTAGAAGGTGTCTGTAATCCTTATGTACAATTAAAATCTGCCACACTACTCCACCCTTTTTACATGTAAATGTGTTCGCCCTCGAACACCACAACCCAGGTTCAGACTCCCTAGTCACCACAGGGAGGGTCGCGGACACCATTTGAAGCAGGAAAGAGAATAGTATGCTTCCAACAGGGATCGAATCCTCGATCTCCAGGTTCGTAATCAGACGCTCTACCATGTGCACTAAGCTAAAGGAAATTCCCTCTAGCTCAAAGCTAAAAGGCGACGGTAATCCTTAGTACAATTAAAATCTGCCACACATGTAATGCACTCTGAGTGTTCAGATTATTCCATGGTATCTGGCATGGGCATAGATTGAAGATAAGCCCAGACTTACAGGTCCAGTACACTCTAGATCTGCCGATTGAGCTATATAGCTATAAAGACCTATATAGCTATATACACCTATAAATTATAGCTGTATTGAGCTATATTTTCTAAGATTTCAATTTTCATTAAATTAAAGAAAAGTCGCATAAAACAATAAGGTTTATGGTAATGTTAACTACAAAAAGCATACAGTTAGATGTTTATTTTCATTTTTCATAAATGTAAAATTTCCGATTTTTTTACATCATTAATTTTTAAAAAGAATCCTTATATTTAATGTCTTTTGTTATCAACCTAATGATACAATCTTCTTTTAAACGCGACTTTGTTTCGTTTTCCTTAAAAAAGAAAATCACTTGAAAATAGCTCAAAAGACCTATTTCAGATGGGCCAATAGAACTATTATAGGTCTTTACAGCTATTTAGCTCAATCGGCAGTGTACTGGACCTGACTTATTTGTGAAAAAAAATGAGAAAGTGAACAGTCGTCATTTTTGTGTTTATACAAACGATACGTTACAGAACTTACTCTCTGTGTTAAGTTTGTGGAGAACACATGGGTAAGACGATTGAAGCAAATCCGACAACATCGAAGGCCTCTTACTCCCGCTGGTAACCAAGCCTGGGCCATACTCCCACCGATCAACTCCTACAGAAGGCATTCTCCATTATTGCTCTATCAAAGTCAATATCTGTAAAGATTACAGATATGGATGATTGTGTTTAAATTTATCAGCCGTTTAAGTTCCTAATGTAAACATCCTATCCGTAAAACATCTCCAACTATCTACAGTGTCGACTTATGCAAGTACACACGAAGGACATGTTTGATAACGTCAGCGTCATATAGACGCTCTACTGTGGTGGTAGATAAAATCTTGTACGCCGCTCCCGCTCCCGTACCATAGGAATATAGAGATATTTTAATATCTCATTACGTGATCGTTTATATTTTTTTATAAAATTATACAATAATTTCAAACATTATTTTCTAAAAGTAGAATTTAATTATTTTATTTTGTATTATCTAATAATTTAGAAATTGACGATAACGTGTATTTCAAGGGGGTAAAACTTGTACGCCGCAGTCAACCGTGAAAATCACACTAATGAAGATGGTACGATGGTTGGCATCAAGATCCTTTTGGGATCTTTTGTTGTTCAGTTAAGTGAGATATCGTCTAGTCACCAGTTTCCGCGCGTTATGTATCCGCGCAGCCATTTTATCACGCTATTATTATATCTCGTAACTACGTGACCTGCTGGACACAACACAAGGATATTTTAGACGTTTGGCCATCGTCTGTAAACTAACACAAAAATTACCGGAAGTTCGTCGGGAACACATAAGAAATAATCACCGATTAAAAAAACACGCATAAATATGCAGTTTTGCTTAATGCACTTTTTATCTTGCTCAAAATGAACCCATACCTGAAAAAACGGTGATATATTTCATTCATGAACCGGTCTTTTTTGTAGGCTGACAAATGTACGAAAATGTCGTATGCAAATGAGGCCACATCTCCTCGCCGATTTGTTTCCACTTCCGAAGGGCCAAGGGGACATTCTTATATAGATAAACAAGTGTTTTCATTGAAACGTAAACCTTGTAATGCAATGAACTTCCAATTTTCACCAATTCACCAACCAAAACCGATATAAAAGTGCAGAAAAAAAAATAACAGATTATATATTATAACTAAATAAATATAACAAATAAATTAAAAAAAATACATGAATTCGTTGAAAAATCTATTAAAAATGTGAAATTTAAAAAAAGTTGTTTTGATAATTAATTTGACGATCAAAGATGTTGGTTTTTTTTAATTCCAAACGAAGCTTTTGTTCTTGCAGGTCACTGTAAGGAAATTCTTTTTTAGTGTATTCGAGTTATCTTTCTTCGAACACTAAATCAAAATAGACACACGGAAACATATGACGGCTACTTCCGACGGGAGAAATTTGTTAAAAATTGTTTGTTCTGAATTTTTTTAAAATACAGTTTTATGTTGCTATTTTTTGTTTCCTTTAGTTGATTGTATACATGTTTATGACAGTGATCCGTACTTTTCTGCCGATATGAGTACGAAATCGCGGATGCTTCTTAAGTGCGCGGAAACCGGTAACTCGAGGATATTTAGAGAAAAGTAACATGTTATTTTCAGGTATATAGAACCACGGAATTAGATTAGATGTTTATAATTATGTAAGTTTCGTTGCAATAAACGACATATTTCACATGGAATTCTGAATTTGTTGTACACGACGTTAAATAAAAAGATTATTATTATTATTAACGCGGGAGTTCTGTTTACTCCCGTACCCCGTGCTAAGGGGACATCACTCCGTCAAGACTCGTGCTAAATATGCATATTTTGTACACAAACTTTTTTTTACAACTATTTCATTATTTCTTTTTCATTTCTGGCTGTGACAGATGGTTTCATAATAGATGTGTAAGTGATCTATCAGGTTACATTTTTCTAGGGATAGTTTTATTTGGAAGTGTGGTAAGTGTTCATAAAACAGCCATAAAAGTCAGAAGCATTTTTGGTATTTTTTAATGTATTTGTATGTGTATCCACGGACTCTAATCTAATTCCGTGGTGTATCCTATTAAAAGTTAAAATGTGTAGCCAGTAAACTTAAAATTCCTTTTGAAAAAAGAACACAATTATATTAAAATATCTCTATAATCTACGGTGACTGGTAGGTAAATCTTGTACGCCACTCCCGCTCCCGTCTCTATCTCTATATTCCTGGTTCGGGGTTTTGGGACGGGAGCGGGAGCGGCGTACAAGATTTACCTATCACCCTCTGGTCCTTGCACTCGACGTATAACGTTTTGGTGATCAAGACTCCACGGTCGGACTAGCACATGTGTCTACCCAAACAAATGGGGAAGTCTAAAGATGATGGCAATTTTGCTAACAAAGAAGCCTACCAACGAATAAATTTCCTTTACCAGGTAATAAGTAAACTAGTAAATCAGGACACGCGGCTGGGACCGAGGGGTTTTGATCGCTTACTGTTCTGTTCTTATAATGACAAGCAGCAAGAGACATGTTATCTGGTGATGGTGAACGTATTTATATCATAATATTGGTCCTATCTATTTATAAGTTGTGTGTTTGGGGTTATCCCTTTGTGAAATGGGTAGACGTTAAAGATATATGTAGTAGGTTGGCACAACCTGTCATATTTGGGTTGCATTAAAAAAAACTGAAATAGAAGAATAAAAAATCGTCCTATATCCCTCTAATCCGCCTTACATAACATGCACACCATTACACATATCAAACTCTTACAATCAAAACACAGGCAGGTAATTACAGAACAATATCTTATTGGAACTTCCTAAATTAAAGCCTTCTGTTGTTTTTAAAATAATGAATTTGCTCTTTTAAAGCTTAGAGTATATTTTCCTTTTCTCCTTCTTTCTATCATTTAAAGTGTCCTCTCACGCTCACCCGACGTAATCTTCAGCTTGATGAGGATGTTATTTTTTTTGTAGACATAATATAAAAACATACAATGCATACTGTTCTTTTAAACATTAGTAGCGATATTGGTCGTCATCATATTCATTCAACATAATCCAATAAAAGTTTATATGATGTTGTCTGCATTGTGCAGCGTCTTTTTCAGTAGCCCATAAAACATTAAGGTCAAAGGGTGATTTTTGTTAAAAATCTGAAACAAGTTCATCTGAGGAATGGAAAGGACAAGAATCATACTATTGTTGACTTGGAGTGCTACAAATTTTGTGAAAAGAAATTACCTTGATTGATAATTAAGAAATTATATTTGGCCAGTATATATAATTAAAGAATAATTTTCTAGAAAAAAGTGCTCCAAATTTTGTAAAATGAAATGACCTTGACCAATATACAAGGTCAAATTTGTTAAAACTTGCACTCAAATGATTTTATCTGAAGAACAGAAAGGCATATATTATCATGCTAGTTGGCTAGTTATACTTTCCGGCAATAAATGCTTCAAGTTTGCTAAAGCAAATGATCTTTTTGCCTAATATTCAAAGTTACTGGGGTTGAATTGTGAATGTATGATTCAATTACTTCTTCTCAAGAACCAAAATGTGTAGAGTCTTTAATGAAACAGCAATAAAGTGCAGTAAATGATTATTTTGTATTTATTTTGAGTGAGGATTGATGGTGTTGGTTTGTTTTATAGGCAGCTTACCTGTCTTTGACGAGGAGTCCAGCTGACCTGAGCCTCTGTAAATTCTACATAAACATCATGAAGACAATCGCTAAACGACTGGTGCTGAGGCTGTAAGTAGGGTGAACATTGAAGCCTGGTGCTGAGGCTGTAAGTAGGGTGAACATTAAAGCCTGGTGCTGAGGCTGTAAGTAGGGTGAACACTTAAGTCTGGTGCTGAGGCTGTAAGTAGGGTAAACAATAAAGCCTGGTGCTGAGCCTGTAAGTAGGGTGAACTCTACAGTGTTGTGCTGATGCTGTAAGTAGGTTGACCAATTAAGTCTGATGCTGAGGCTGCAAGTAGGATGACCACTAAAGTCTGGTGCTGAGGCTCTAAGTAGGATGGACGCTGAGGCTCTAAGTAGGGTGAACACTAAAGTCTGGTGCTGAGGCTGTAAGTAGGGTGAACACTAAAGTCTGGTGCTGAGGCTGTAAGTAGTTTGACCACTAAAGTCTGGTGCTGAGGCTCTAAGTAGGATGGAAACTAAAGTCTGGTGCTGAGGCTGTAAGTAGGGTGAACACTGAAGTCTGGTGCTGAGACTAAGTAGGATGAAAACTAAAGTCTGGTGCTGAGGCTGTAAGTAGGATGAAAACTAAAGTTTGGTGCTGAGGCTGTAAGTAGGGTGAACACTAAAGTCGGGTCCATAAAAAATTGGTGCCTCCTTTGTGTCACAGTTAACTGACTCTGTTTGAGGGAATAAACCTGAATGTGTTTAATATATTGTTAGACTACCTAGTGTTGATGGAAGTGGAATACTACATTTAAGTTCAGTAATTTTTCTCTGAAATTATTGTCTCAAGTCAGTTATGTCTATAATGTTGCTTAGGCTGTTAGTAAATGCCTGTTTTGGGCCATATATGCCATCAAAAAAAATGTGTCTGTAATATTGTCAGTAAACATTGACAATAGACAATCACATTGTTAATTACATGATCTTATGCCTTGAACATTGCCAATAAACTGAAGCCATAGACAACAAATATATTGCCCCAAACAGTCCTTTACAAACTGATGTCATGGATGTTATCATCAAAATATTTAAACTGTTAATCTAAATGATTTACTATAGATTCAAACCCATGTTGAATATTAATTGTTATAAACAAATGTTTGTTTCGTATTTTATGTATCACAAATATGTGAATGGCCTACATTTTTAATGTGTTTCCTTCATTTATCAGACATCCTAGTATGAAGAGGAACTTCTGCAGGAGATGTTGTGTACTGCTGGTCCCAGGCGTGTCTGCTACAGTCAGGACAACAGGTAATTCACCACTGGTCCCTGGTTAGGTTCACAGTCAGAAACACAGGTAAACCTCTGTATTGCTCGTCCCCAGTCAGGATCACAGGTAATGCAATGTCCTACATGAGTGTTCTCCAAGACCTCGGGTAATTAGACCCCATCACTACTGCTACAGGACACTAAATATTGGCATTCTGTTCATCTGTATATCACGTTGTCGAGGACGTGTACCTTAAAACCTGTCACCTACAATGTTCAGACTTTGTATGGGAGTACCACTTAGCATGGTGCAGTGTTTTGAGCAATCCATAGTCCAAGGCAAACTTTGGTCATGCTGCCATATTAAAATTAAAAGGGGTTTATGTGACATTCAGCCATTGAAGATGTACTCTCCTACAAAATTTGCAATTGACACATTTGTAAGGGACAGAGTATATGAGATAAAACCTGAAATTAAATGATACACAGTGAAGAACTGGTCAAAACTCTGTTTAGATGGGAGACCTGATTATAGTATAGGACAATGCCATTGCAAGAGTATAATTATGAAAAATGTTCGTAACTAAGTTACACAAACAATGCACCATACAAGTTTGGCTGAAAACCCCCATTTTACCAAGGGACACTTCACCCTTCCTGAAGGTACACTCATACAAATTTTGGCATACATTTTGGCATGTAGGGGATAGAGAATATGAGATGCTGTGGAAAAGGTTATGCAGGGTGAACAAAAAAGGCTATATACAAAAAGTGGGGCGTTAAACCTAGGTAACCCTCTGTCTGAGGTGTGTTCTTCAGTAAGAACCACAAGAGTTTAAACTTTTAATACGCCTGTCAAATTTGACGTAAGTATTATGGTATGGGGTTGGCCGCCCGGCTGGCGTAAACTTTTGTTTGTCCAGCAATCTCCTCCTACATTGTTAGACCGATCTCTTTGAAACTAAGTATACATTAAAATCATGATATCAAGTTGTGTCTCCCTTAAAAGGTTATTGCCCTTTGTTCATTTCCGTATTTGATTTTTTTTGTCCGGAGATCTCCTCCTACATTTTTTGACGAATTTCTTTGAGACTTAGTAGGCTAAATAATCATGATATGTTGTTGTGATTCCTTGACCAGAATTTTGATTCAACAATTAAAATCTCCTACATTTTTCAACGGATCTCTTTGAAACTTGGTATACATCATAATCATGATATAAAGTTGTGTCTCCCTAAAAAGAAATTTGATTCAACGATTTTTGCAAAATTAATTGCCCTTTGTTCATTTCAGTATTTGATTTTTTGTCCCGAGATTTTCTTCTACATTCTTTATAGCATGTCAGCTAACCACTCTTAGAATGATGCAGATTTTATTTCAATGTAAGAAAGTATATAACACTATATGGCATTCGACGGGCGTATATTGTTCTGCCCTGCGGTACTCTTGTTCGTATATGGTGCTATCGTAGCAGTGTACAGTAGCATACGGTGGCCATGGGTGATATTTTTGTACAATGAATAACCCCTGTAATATTACATGTATCAAAAGTTTAAAAAAAAAATCAGCTCTAAAATTGGCATATGCATGATGAATTGGACTATGTGGGCTTCACATTTAAAATAAAAATCGAATTTGGCTTGAGACTACATTTTTGGCCATTTACGAATCTGTGTCTACACAACAAATGCTAGCTTTTCATGTAGTCTATTTTTGTACTCAGCACATGTGTAAATAACAGTGGTCTATTTGGTTCATGGATGTCAAAATCTGTTCATATGTACCATTAACAATAGTACCATAGTAGTGTGTTTTATAATTAATCTGTTGGGTGCCACTTTCTTACGTAAGCATTCATGTCCTAGAGCCTCTTATTCTGTTTGTATCCCAGTAATCCAACTGTTAACAAATCCTGCCACTTAGCTAGGTATGAGGGTAGCCAGATTAACTGTTGGCCCTTTCAAATCTGGTGTTAGAATATGTAAAAGCATGTAGTTTCAACTGTTACAATACTAGTAATTTACAATTCTTCCTTTTTTTTCTTATACAGGAAAGCGTGAAAAACACACAGTCATAACCTGTCTAGAATGTAAAAATATAAAGAGGTATCTGTGGCGTGAAAGTCATAAGTTGTGGGCAGACCATCCAGAGTTGTGGCTAAAGAGAGAGGAATGTATATGATGTTAGCCTGCAGCCAGCTGAAATGCCTAATGGCAGAAACCTTGAAAGTAGTGAACAAGGTTGTGTGACTTCAGGACATTGAAGGCAGTACTATACCTGTGGCCGAAGACACAACAGCCTCCAGGATATTGAAGACGATAGACACAGCTGGTCACCGGGACCTTAAAGGCATCAGACATAACCAGCCTCAAAGTGATAGACACTGCTAGTCACAGGAACATTGAAGGCAATAGGCAAATTTAGACTTCAAGGACCTTAAAGGCTGCAGATATAACTGGTCCCCGAAGCACTGAAGCCAGTAGTTTTGTCTTACCTTTGTAGGCAGTAGACCTGGTATGTTTTTTGGTCTTTGAAGGTGGAGGTTTACTTGAGTAGACACGGATGTTTTGACATACCCCATAAGGCATGGTGTGACATACCTCTCCATGTGGGCGACACGGTGGTTTGAAATATCCCCAGTACCCAGTAAGGAATAGTGCGACATATACCCGGCAAGGTAGAGGACAAGGGGAGCATAACTTTATACCTTGTAAGGTGGTGGGAAAACTTAACACACAAAATACAAGATGGCCCTCAGGTGGCCACTTCACATTTCTGCTCACTATCTCAAATAGGAGCATGCACAACTAATGACCGAGGAGATCATGGATGACAAGCTTCATCATGATTCCAGGAGGAGTTTCTAAGAAACAGTGGTAACAAAAATTGTTTACAGACAGACAAAATAACTGATTGATGGATGTCGAAGCAAGGATGATGTCTATCATTTTAATGATGGTAGGCTGAATATGACAAACCTTTATACCGTTCAGCACAGTATCAGTGTGAAGGACGAGATCATACATTATGGTACAAGATCAGTAATGTTTGTAATTATTAAATATCACCACACTTGCATTAGAGAAGTATGATTAGAAGGTCAAAGTCACAAGGTTAAATATGTTTGAAGCATCATTGAAAATCAAAGGAGCTATGCATATTGTGGATTTGATTTCTGAACACCTGATAACCTGGTCTTATGAAATGAACTCTTATTTACCTGCTTTTTAACATTTGTTGCCAAATTGACTCGGGAGATCTAACCCGGAAATGTTACAAAATATAGCATCAGGTATACAAATATCTAAGGTTAAATGAAAGTTTTAATGAATTAAAACAAGAGTACTGCAGGGGGGTACAATATATGTCCCTTGGGCATTGCTCCCATGTCAATCTCACATACTTAAAATTCTTCTGATGCATTATTGTATCTTAATGTATGGAAATGTAAGAATAAACAACATTCATACTGTACTCATTGAAGTTGAGAATTATTTCTGAAATGTGGTGAATGGAGAAAACATACTGCACTTGACCAACTTCAGCTGGAGGAATATATATTTCATATCCTTTTAGACCATTAAAAAAATATTTTCATAGGAATTGTCTCCCTTTGTATATGTTTCAGACCATGAAAATAGATTCAGATTGCCAGTAATTGATTCACTTTACACCATTAAAAGCAAAGATATTTCTATTGTTCTTCAATAACTGGCTAATTTGACTATTATACAAATTGTAAATATTGAAAAGGTCTCGTAAGAATACTGCCATATATTTGACTACCTGTAAGTTAATGTGTGGAAACCATCAACCAATCAGATTGCAGTAGGCTGATGAATTATGTGCAGGTATTGCTCACCTTTAAGCTTAGCCTTTGTCATCGTATAATATTAATACTGACCAGTTTCATTAGAATCAGGTCATAAAGTTATTGTGCAGAAATTGTCAACAAATCAAACCACAGTATGCTTTTAAATTATGCATGGATTATGCCCAACTTTGAACGTAGTTTCAGCCTTTGTATAATGTACATGCTTACCAAGTTTCATTAAAATCGAATGATATTTAAGCAATTTATCTAGCGGAAACTAAGTATGAAATTTGACCAATCAGAGCACAGTAGGTTAATTTATGCATCAATTTTGCTCAAGTTCAAACTCACAGTCTTAGTCTTTTGTATAATGTATGTGTATACCAAGTTTCATCAAAATTCAACGATATTAAACAAGATACCTTGCTGAAAAGTGTAAACGGACTCTCCCCATACCATAATAGATAAAGTCAGAATTTTCTAGTCGTATATAAACACATGAGCAGACTAAATGTTCCTACTGTAATACCAGGTGTGTGGGTCCCCAGGTATATTATGTGTGGGTCCCAAGGTATAGTATGTGTGGGTCCTAAGGTAAATTATGTGTGGGTACCCAGGTATATTATGTGTGGGTCCCCAGGTATATTATGTGTGGGTCCTAAGGTAAATTATGTGTGGGTCCCCAGGTATATTATGTGTGGGTCCCCAGGTATATTATGTGTGGGTCCCAAGGTATATTATGTGTGGGTCCCAAGGTATATTATGTGTGGGTCCCAAGGTATGTTATGTGTGGGTCATAAGGTATATTATGTGTGGATCCCAAGGTATATTATGAGTGGGTCCCAAGGTATATTATGTGTGGGTCCCAAGGTATGCTATGTGTGGGTCCCAAGGTATATTATGTGTGGGTCCCCAGGTATATTATGTGTGGGTCCCCAGGTATATTATGTGAGGGTCCCAAGGTATATTATGAGTGGGTCCCAAGGTATATTATGTGTGGGTCCCAAGGTATATTACAAAACAAAGACATCTTGAATATTCTTTTCTTTAATATCACTCAACTTTCCATGTAACAAAAAAAGTACAGGATTACAAATGACATCATAATAATAAAATGAAAATATGTAAATATGAAAACATTATACATATGGCAGAATAATAAGGAAAATCAAAGTCTTAAATTATCAAATATGTGCAGTATACAATAATCAACAATGACTGAACTATCGTTATTTAGTGGAACCTGGTCAGTTCAGAAATAACACTGTTAAATTTCCAGGAAAATTTACGATTTTTTTTAATATCTCCCAAATTTACATCTTATATTGCCAAGTTTTTAGAAAGGAACTTTTCCAAATCAAAAGATTGAGTATCACCTACCATGACCGTAAACCCATACCGATATATGTAAGCATTAAGTGGAAGTCACAAGAACCTAGACGACTGAAGTCCATCTACTTGAGTCGGTATGCCAAACTTTTGAAATATACATACACAGTAATTGCGTCTCATATTCTCCTGATATGATTTGAACATTTTTTGAAGAAAATCATATTTTACGTGTAAAAAATAAAAACAGGAAAAACAAATACACATATTATATGTTATTAGAACATATACCCCATCCCCCGCACCTATGGCTGTACCAACCCGGGATTTCCCATCCCCCACACCTATGGCTGTACCACCCCGGGGATTTCCCATCCCCCACACCTATGGCTGTACCACCCCAGGGATATCCCATCCCCCACACCCATGGCTGTACCATCCCGGGGATGGGAATTATTATGCGGTCATCTATTATGACCGCAGATGTGAAAATCATAGACCTTTTTTCCCATCCCCCGCACCTATGGCTGTACCACCCCGGGGATTTCCCATCCCCCGCACCTATGGCTGTACCACCACGGGGATTTCCATAATAAAACATATTATCCAGAATCATTTATAGAGAAGGTGTGGTTACATACATCACAGATAAAAATTGCATAAAAAAGGTCAAAACAAAGCAAAACCAACAGACTGGATGAGCTGTCTGCATGCTCCTGACAGAAAACCCAAGCAAAAAATTGCATCCTGAGAAGTTTCTCTGTGGAATTATGTGACTGCCCACTTTATATAAACAACTGGTACAGCTAGTGGACTAGACAGATAATACCAACCACAGGAAGAATAGGTGTACAAGTATATGTACTAAAATTTGTAATGCTACAAAATTTGTTTATAGTTACAAACCTTTGGCTACAGTGACCTCCTATACTAAGATTACATAATTACTCCCGGTATATGGACAGATAAGTATAATGCTGCACAATAACTAAATTTCGTAGTTTCATTAGAAAACAGTTGGCAAGACAAATATAGCTATGCTCTCAACACTTCAACAATATGATAATACCATGAACACAACAATTATGTGCTGTCAACAATTTCATGATGCCAGCATACACTCACTTCCATTAACATGCCTATAATATCACACACACAGGAAATATTTCAACTTGATTACATTTAAACCTGGAAAGCATTTAAATGTATGAATAAAACAAGGTATGTCAGGGGTTGGGGCTGTCTATAGGGCTACAACAATATGCACTCACGAAACGATATGTATATACATGTATACACATATCTCCTCAAAGGTCAAAGATTTTCAGACTTTTGTCATAAATACTGTCAAAACATTTTTTTTGTATGAATTTAAGGCCCTTTTGCACAGTGGGCCACATCTTTATTGAAGGACTCCAAAACAATAAGTGAACTCTTAAGAGTTCTATAAAAAGAAATTGATAATTTCAGTAACATTCAAATGTACATGTATGTATAACTTACTTAAACTATACAGTTACACAATCATCAAAGTTATAAGTCCAGTCATCAAAAGTTACAGGTACAGTCATCAAATGTTACAGGTAGTTATAAAAAGTTACAGGTCCAGTCATCAAATGTTACAGGTAGTTATAAAAAGTTACAGGTACAGTCATCAAAAGTTACAGGTAGTCATCAAAAGTTACAGGTACAGTTATCAAAAGTTACAGGTGTAGACTAGTCATCAAAAGGTACAGGTACAGTCATCAAAAGTTACAGGTAATTTATACAAAGTTACAGGTACAGTCTTCAAAAGTTACAGGTAAGTTATACAAAGTTACAGGTACAGTCTTCAAAAGTTACAGGACTGGTATAGTCATCATAAGTCACAGATACACTCATCAAAAGTTACAGGTGTAGACTAGTCATCAGAAGTTACAGGTACAGTCATTAAAAGTTACCTGTACAGTCATCGAAAGTTTTTATCACAGATGTAACATAACAGGGTAAATGCTGGTTATTAACATATTACATCCACACAACAGTAGCTGAAAGCACCTGTAGTAATGAAAGACTGGTTACCATCTCATATACCCGGTAATTACTAGCTGCAATAACATGTTAAGGTAATGTAGGATACAGACCTGGTCCTGCTTAGGATAAATATCACAAATTTTCTCTTAATTTCCCGAACAATTACGATGAAACTATAATTTACAGTTTATATATATGTGATGATGATATTGGGTATTCTCTTCAGTAAATAGGATCGCTTTCCCTGAAACCCTATAATCTGCATCAACTCTTCTTCAGACTTGGGGCCCAGTTAGGGGCACTTGGGCACAGCTACCATGGGAATGATGTTTTAGAATCTAAGATCTGCCGTAATGTCATTGAGCACCAATGAACACTGACTAGACGTCTCTCCACTGTCAGGTTTTCCTTCACAGGCTTGTTCCTGACAGCTTCATCCTGTCAGCACCAGTCTCAGAGGCGTCTGCGTCATCACCACCGATCTCCTCAGGCCATCAATTCCAGCACAGCCAGAAACACAGCTAACATAGACTAGTCAATAGTATTTATTTTCAAACTTTACATGTCCAGCAAATGTTGTGGGTAGATTTCTATGGCAATCTAACCGTAAAACTAAGGTTAAATACAGAATTTTGGAAGCACAAATCCAAATCTTGTCTGTTCTGTTAGATGTCCCTTTCAAACTCATGTCAGAAATTCAGACTTCACTTTATTACTTTTATTACTGTTTTTTACCTGACGCTAAAGTAACAAACCATTTTTTGTAGCATTGCTGGTCTTTTGTAGGTAAATTTAGACAGGATATAGATCTGAGTGTTTCTGGCTGGCTGGAATATCTAGTACCTGGACTTGGGTTTGGATCAGCTGTCAGCTGTGGGCACTTTACGATCTGAAATTAACAGAAGGAATAATACGGTCTACACATGTTATACATGCAACAAGTGAATATATTCTTCAAGTAACTGAAAGAAAAAGTAACAGAATACACAATACATACAGAAATTAATACAAAGAACAATGGGTCTATTTGTTGCTTTGTTTGTACAGAGTTTATTGCATTCTCAACTTGTGTGTCCCTTATTGCTAGAGACAGACAGCTAACATGTAAGTTGCTTTTGCATATCTCGGTTAAATCGGCTCAGGTGGTACAGAAATTTCAGTTTTTTAGTTTCATTAAAGCTCGTCCAGACAGTCGATATGCACATGGCAAATTTTCCAGAGGTAAACCTCGGCCAAATCTTAGCCTGCTGGGTTTTTTTTTAGGCTCAGCTGGGTGAAATGGTTACACGAAAGGAGCCATACTATTATTCTGAAACAGTACCATCACTTTTTGCATCATTAACAGGATATACATTTTATTGTCCTTAATTGTTAAAGTTTCATGATTGAGTCATTGATGATGGGCTCAGGAAAGTATTGGAGAAAAATAATCAATCACTCCTGTGTGAAGCAGGGAGAGAAATTTCAATCCTCAGGATACATTTTTCACTGTTAAGTCCTTGGCAAAGCCTTGTGCTTTACTTCAAAAATCTTACCGAGCTGGTTGAGACTTCTTCACCTACATCAGACAAGAGTTTTACAGTCTGCATGTACACAAGGAACAACATAATCTTCAACACAGTCTACAAGAAATGGGGGAAACAATCCTGTCTATTAACAATATGAAAAACAAAAAAGCCAACAAGTAACGGAAGTAGCATGCAGGAAACTTACTCTCATTGGCTACAAACTCCAATGAGTCACTGAATATTCAGTATCGATTTGTGCCCTTCTTTGGTCCATCACCCAAGAACTCGTGGCCCAAACCATTTCCACATTTCCCGCAGTGGATCTATGGAAAGATAAGATAAAGTTTACTTATTTCCCGCAGTGGATCTATGGAAAGATAAGATAAAGTTTACTTATTCCCGCAGTGGATCTATGGAAAGATAAGATAAAATTGACTTAAACTAAGTGTATTGAATAAAATATGAAATCACTGCAGAACAATACAAAATCTTTCATTTTGAAAACAATTGTGTTACACATAAATTTGTGCACCCCCAAAATAAGTATGCAATAGAGAACAATATACAAGAACTTCAAATTCATAATATAGCTAATGCTAAAATATGTACGCTGACAGTATTGCATTTTTAACACACAAGGATTTCTTAACAATGGCGATTTCTTACACACAGGGATTTCTTAAAAAGTGTGATTTAATTTTTACACTTGGGATTTCTTGCAAAAAGGCACTCATAAATATCTAGAATTTTGTTTTAAAGTAAATGAGAAAAAGATGACACTGCACAATTATCATTCAAATATTTCTTGACAACAAAACTTGAATGATATTTCTAGAGATTCAAGTCACCTTCATGGCTGATTTTGACTCAGGTGTCCTGCTTACGGAGTCCGGGTTGATAAGCTTGGTAAATGCTGGCCAAGGGGATGAGTGCTCATACTTCTGTGAGCTATGAAAAAGCTCATATCCACACTTCTTACATGCATAAACTCCTGTAAAGTAACGAAAACCAGATTTTTTTGATTTTTTAATATATATCGGTATATGTAATAGGTTATGTTGAATACAGCATAGACATAGACAAGAGGCCCAATGGGCCTGCATCGCTCACCTGGTATAAATCTCACACTTGTAACCTTAAAAGTGATCTAAAATAAAGCTATAGGCAAAATATCAGTATTTATGATTAAAATTCATTCAAAAGACCCTGTTATTTTTTTTTAAAACATTTCACCCCTGTGATTGAAAGTCGAACAAAGTCATTATGTTGAACAAATTTTATAGCCTTTCATCTCAGGATGCAACTTGCAAAGTATCAACATCCTGGGACCCATGGTTATTCAGAAGAGGTTGTTTAAAGATTTTAAACAAATTTGACCCCTGTGACCTTGAATATAAGTCAAAGTCATTCACTTTAACAAACATAGTAGTCCTTGATCCCAGCATGCTACTGACTAAATATCAACATCCTGAGCCTTTTGGTTAT